AAACCTGTCTGTTATACACATCTATATATATATATATATATGTATATATATATGTATATGTATATGTATATGTATATGTATATGTATATATATATATGTATATGTATATATATATGTATATGTATATATATATATGTATATGTATATATATATGTATATGTATATATATATGTATATGTATATATATATATATATGTATATATATATATATGTATGTATGTATGGCTCCGTGCATGGGTTAGTTCTAAATAAGATTTTTTATGTTTTATTAGTCAGATGTAGGTTTCACTACGACAGTCAAATCTCCTTTTATGACTACGTTTTAGTGTGATTTTAGTCATTAAATTTCTTGTGTTACATCACAGTTTAAACCATATTATTAGAGTAGCGATTGAGTTTTAGCTTAAAGAAAAATCTTCAACGTCTCTTATTATTAATATTTTTTTTAACTTTTTACAGTTTTGTTAATCAGTATCCCAAGAATAGTATTTAAAAAGTAAATAAAAAATCATAAAACCCATTTCCCAATCACAATTACTTTTTTTTAATTCTTAATCACTATTTACCTCCTTTTCATTAGTTATGCATGCTAGTTGAAGAAAGATTGTCAAATAATTATTCCACTTTTTTCTTATTAATTGCTATTTATCTCAGAAGCATATCTTTTCTACTTCTGTTTTCCTTCAGTCTTTATTCTTCCTATTTCTTTATTTTCAGTTTCACTCCTCTTCAAAGCAAAATAACGTTTGTTTGCACAATCTGTGTTGGTTAGTTAGCCTGTGTAAACATATAAAAAAACTCATGCCTGTGTAAACATAAATACAGACCTCATCAACAGTGACATAAACTAACTTTAACTCAACGCATGTCAAGACAAGAATAAACAAATTCATGTTCAAGAATTTAAAGGTACTTTAATAAGAAAAATTAGGCAATCGAATTTCTGATTCAATAAAATATTAAGATGAAATCTAGGTACATTTATCAGATTCAAATACCTTAACTGCTATTTACTAAATGCTACAGAAATAATTGATGAAACTCAATCCGAATGATCTGACATTGGTTTCCCTCATATACCAACTTTTTATTTTGTTCTTTAACTTTTTATTCACCCAATAACATGCAACAAAGATACTACTCAAATGCAGAAATTTGCATAAGCTTGCTAAAGTTGAGAAGACCAAGAATTTGAATCAACCCAGTTATATGCAATAGGGCTCAAAAAAGCATCAGGAATACCAAAGGAACTGACTAAGGCAAGTGCATGTGGTCGAACTTCAGCGCATAGCTTTGTCACCTCTTTTCTCACTGCAGAAGCATTCTCTGTTGACAAGTATCCATATCGAAGAAAGCTAGCATCTTCATCCACACTTATCACAGCATACAACGATCTCAATAGACCCAACACATCCTACCGAGAAGGCAAATAAAAGTAAAAAATCAATTAATGGATCAGTTACACATTTTTACCCTACAAATAATTGCACAAGAAACACAGGGCACTGTAGCAAGACAAAAATGCTAACATAGTCTCTACAACACACCTTTAGAATATACTCTATTGAATACTAATGTTTGACTTCCTTCCATTTGGACAAGTTTTTCTTTCTCAGTTAAATATATTTTTGGTTCCTTAACTTTCAGTAAAAATTGAAATTAAACTCTCTTCAAAAATTTATCTTCAAAAATTTGGACCAATTTAGTACTTTATCTTTAGAATTGCATGGATTTAGTCCTTAAAAGATTTTGTGAAGTTTATTTGATGTTTCAAAAACTTTTTTCAATTAAGATTGAAGAGGCAATATGTCAAAAGATGTAAACAACTATCATGAAAGGCCTTTAAAACGTCAAATAAGTTTAACAAAATTTGATTAAAAGAACTAAATCCACACATCTCTAAAGTTGAAGAATTAAATTGACCCAAAATTTCAAAAGGAGACTAATTCCCGTTTTCCTGACAACTCTTCTAACAACACTCAATAAAAAATTATAAATAAACTTCCCTCAAACTAAATTTCACTGAAGTATTAATTCAAATCAGCTTCGTGAAGAAGTTACCGTCCCTTAATTCCTACAAAAACTAATTTTAACTTGTAAATAAATAATTTTAACTTTGCTAAATAAATAATTTATCTAATTTTTCAATGAATTTTTATAGAAAAACTTATACAAACAAGGTCTTAACAAGTCCAATTAGTGATTTTGTAATTTCTAGCAAAAGTTAACCAATAGTGAAAAGCATGGTGTTTGGAACCGGACCGATTTGACCAGGAACTAATTTCTTAAGCGGTTTAATTATAGTGCAAAACAACTAATACATAAACCAGTAAAACCAGTCCAAAAATTGGTAAACCGGTTCAATAAAAAATTTAATAAATTACAATTTTAACTTTTTAATCTTATCAAATAAAAATCAACCTATATATTAGTCATTTTCTTCTTTATTCTAGATATAATTTTCTTATTATTAATAAATCTTGATGTATATTACTGAAATTTCAATTTGAGCATGATGCACTTATTTTATTTAAACTTTTTTATAGATATTTTAATGTTAAGAGCCTATAAATTTGTTTATTTCAACTTCTACAATTATAAAATTATGATATTATACATCTTTAATTTTATTTGTGTATTTTTAATGAATTTTAGTAATAAAGATTCAATTCCAGACCTCTGTTAAACGAACCATTCAACCTTGATCAAGTGCCATGACAGGATCAATGACTTCCAGATTTAAATAAATGGTAAAAAGCACGTTATAGAGAACCTTTTACTAGTACTATTTTATAGTAAGAACATTCAGCAAGCAATAAATTACAATTTTAACTTTTTAATCTTATGAACTAAAAATCAACTTAAATATTAGTCCTTTTCTTTATTCTATATATAAATTTCCTATTATTTACAAATCTCGATGTATATTATTGAAATTTCAATTTGAGCATGCACTTATTTTATTTAAACTTTTTTATATATATTTTAATGCTAACCGCAAATAAATTTGTTTTATTTTAGCTTCTACAATCATAAATTATGATATTATTCAGCAAGCAATAATATGATTTACCTTCAATGAACCAGCTGGTAAAGTTGACTCGGCATCCATGAAGGTTTTCAGTATTGCTCGTTCTGAGAAAGCTCTGCCCAAGTCTTCTGCTAGCTGATAACTCTGTAACAGAAGAAGTTGTTCCGAATTTTAAGACAATGAAAAGATGAAAGGAAAAGATAAAAAGACGAGGTAGAATCCTCACTAGAATGAAGGCAGACTCTTTGCTTTCTCCACGAGACTGGTATTCTGAGACCTCTTCAGCAAAGCGCCTCAATAGGTCTCGCTCTCTTAGGTGGAACAGATCAATCTGTGAGAGTGAGAGTGAGAGGTAACGTAAGAAACAGATAGAAGCTTATATATGGCTTCTCCAAATTTCAAAAGGCATAATCAAATGATTACCTGAAATTCACTGCTCCTAATGGTCGGAGTTGTTAGGTGAGATGGGATAACAGGCAAATTTTTGTTCATGTGTTCTAATCCTAAACCACTGAAAGGTTTGTTTTGCTTCTGACATGCTACGTATTCTGCAAAGAGTGCCTTGCTAATCTGAAGTGTAATGAAGAACACATGAACAACCATTCAATAAAATGGACAGAACTAGCATAATTTGACACGAATTTTCACGCTACTATTAAAAAAGTCTATTTAAAAAAGGTTATCCTATAAGAAAAGAAAAATGCTAGGTTATAGAAGCCTAAAGTCAACTATACAATTAAAAACAAAAATAGTTCCTTAAACATAATAAGTTACATTTTATCAAATATCTCTAAAGAAATAAAAACAGATTGCCCCTGACAAAGGATACACAAACCAATACCATTTTGGAGAAATCTCAATTAATAAAAATCAAAAGTCACAAGGATCAAAATTCTAATATCGGAACAAGAAGGCCTAAATACCAATTTTAGAAACCAAACAACCCAAAGTCAAATAAATGCTTTTTGATGAATGCCCATCTAGTATCCTAAGTTGGATTTTGTATAACTATTTCATAATAATTATTATTNCTCTAATCCTAAACCACTGAAAGGTTTGTTTTGCTTCTGACATGCTACGTATTCTGCAAAGAGTGCCTTGCTAATCTGAAGTGTAATGAAGAACACATGAACAACCATTCAATAAAATGGACAGAACTAGCATAATTTGACACGAATTTTCACGCTACTATTAAAAAAGTCTATTTAAAAAAGGTTATCCTATAAGAAAAGAAAAATGCTAGGTTATAGAAGCCTAAAGTCAACTATACAATTAAAAACAAAAATAGTTCCTTAAACATAATAAGTTACATTTTATCAAATATCTCTAAAGAAATAAAAACAGATTGCCCCTGACAAAGGATACACAAACCAATACCATTTTGGAGAAATCTCAATTAATAAAAATCAAAAGTCACAAGGATCAAAATTCTAATATCGGAACAAGAAGGCCTAAATACCAATTTTAGAAACCAAACAACCCAAAGTCAAATAAATGCTTTTTGATGAATGCCCATCTAGTATCCTAAGTTGGATTTTGTATAACTATTTCATAATAATTATTATTACACTGCTTAAAAGTCAAATGAAAATAAACAAACACAACTCATTAGGATCCAATTAATGTTTTGCACAATGAAACCAGCTCATCATATTTCCTGGGTTTGAAAATAAAAATGTTGTGCTGAATTATTAATCAAATTTCATATTTAACAGATACTCATTTTACCTGCTGCATCAGAACATTGTTGTCCCCCTCAAATGTTGATTGCACATCAAATTCACCCATGAAATGACCAACACGATTTTCAGATTTAACTCCTTGACCTCCACAGGCTTCACGACATTCCTAGTTCAAGCATTAATAGAACCTTAGAGAGGAAAACAGCATACAATACTACCTATCAAACCCCAGAAAAAACTTACCTGGAGAGTACGCATATTATTCCAAGTAAAAGTAGCCTTGTATGCACTAGAAATAATATGAATTGCTTTGTTTGACTTCGGTGTTCTTTTAACATACATCATTTTGAGGTCATTTGCAGAAAAACTCATTGCATATCTGAACCAAAAAAGTAAAGAAATGAACATATAAAGGTATTGTCTTGGTCTATTTATATTCACTAATTGATTAAACAAGGGTATCCATATGGGAAAATAACCACTGATCTTTAGTAAAAATTAACTAGTCCTGTAATATTGAGCATATTTTTAAAGATTCTTTGTCTTTACATTTTGGTGAGAAAAACAAAAGGCATCTTACATGGAGGTATAGTTCAAAATGGCAAACCTAAGCTTCAGTTTCCCATAAAGAATTGAATGATTTTTATTTTTGAGGTCTGATCAAATAGATATCAAAATGCCTGTAATTAGAGGACTTACACCTTTGCAAGTAAAGGTAACAGACGCCGTTGATGACTAGGGTAATCAAGAAGTAAAACTTCAGGACCATTTGGTGTAATAGAGAATGCCTGCCTTGTCAGTGCATATCTTATAGCAATGGCCAAGCTAATCTAAGAACAAATAAAGGACACGATAAGTTAAGATATCAAATTTGGAATGAGTTAGTTAAATACAAAGAAAAAAAAAAACAGGACAAACGTGAAATCCACAAATATAGATGGTCTCACTACCTTGGACATGTAAACAGCACTAACAGCAATAGTAACCCGACCACTGGTCAAAGGGGCCAAGAAAGCAGCAAACCTCTGTAGCGAGAATAACATACAACAAAAGATATGTGAACAAGCTTCTCAAAAGGAATATAGAAGACCACACGGAGAGCAAAGAGAATATCATCTCTCTAAAAAGCAAATCACCTGATCAACATTTTTTATGGCACTCAAATATTGACCAGTTGGGGAAACATCAGCCACAGAATTCAACAAATTCTCCCGAGGTATCCTCACATTATCAAACCTGAGGATCCGTGTCCAGAGTTTATGAGTTCATTCATTTATATGAAATTGATTTTTCAGGCACTTGTTTGAAAATGCATATATTACCAGATACGGCCATTGTCAACTCCATTTAAACCAGTTTTGTGACCACAATCGGCTATTCGGATGTTTGGACATATGTTTCCATCTGAATCCCTGATTTGGGCAATGAATGCATGCACCCCTTGATTGCTTCCATTTATATAGAGCTGTGAAAAGACTATAGTATGTGTTGCATGCTGAATAGGAGAACAAGTTAATAACAAAGGGTTAATATATACAAAGTTGGAGCAGGAGAAAAATGTGAGCACCCAATCATATCAAAGTCTAGGCTTTTAAATAATTATCAATTATACAAAAAGAATCATTACATTTGCTGCACCGCCAATCCAATACTTCTGACCCGATTCACATGGAGTATTGACTACAAATTCTCCAATATTTGAATCATAAGTAGTGATTGTTTCAATTCCTCGCACCTGTAAAAATTAGTGTGGAAAGAATTATTAGAGATGACAAGGAAAAATAATAATAAATTAATAGCGGACCAAATGAACACAACTAATTTAGCAACCTTCACATACATTACTTCCATGGCCCAACTCAGACATAGCAAAACAACCCTTCATGTCATAGTTTTCAGTAGCTTTTAACCACTTGTCATGATGGCGCTTGGTTCCCAAAAACTTCACGGCCCCACCCCTGAAATCCATTATCCATCATTCAGTTCTTGTTTTCCAAAATGCCGCACCAAAAAAATAAGAAAAAAACAATAGGAGAAATTAAACTAGTTAATTTATTTACGTTTCAATTCCTCCAAGAGCTTACATGTTTTAAAGGGCACAGAATATCATTAAACTATATGTTAGGAACCTTGGTAAGAATCCTAACTATCTCCCTTACTCTCACACTTCAGTACTCTGACAGCAAGCAATTGTAAAAGAAACTACTTGTATTCACATCAAAGAATCAAGAATACAATTGGAAAACCAGGAGCTTAACCTCCTTCACCAGGTCTAAACTGGTCTTCAACTCAAGAGTACAAACTCCATAACGGAAACAATAAAAGAGGTCCTTTTATAGAGACCTTTTCCCCCCTACTTAACTGTTTAACAGTTAAGTACTCTTCCTCACCTTTTGCCTCTCATAAACCCTCCATGTCCTAACATTACTCCCCCCTTGAGAAGCAACCTTGTCCCCAAGGTTGAACTCTGGAAACTGTTCTTGCATCACCATTCGATCCTCCCAAGTTGCACTTTCCACCCCTCCGTCTTGCCATTCAATCAGCACTTGCTCTCGTTGGTCTCTCCTTGCTGCTGAACCCATTTATCTAGCACCTTGGTTGGCCAGCATGACGGTCCACTCATTTGCAAGTCTGCTGGTAACTCCTTCTCCACTTGATTGATCCCAATGGCCAACTTCAGCTGGGACACATGGAAGACCGGATGGATTCTCGCATTCTCAGGTAGGAGCAGTCTAAATGCTACCTCTCCTATTTTCTGAATCACTTTGAAGGGCCCGTAATACCTGGCTGATAATTTTGGATGTAGTCTTACCAGCATCGAAGTTTGTCTATGCGGCCTAATTTTCAAATATACCCAATCATCCACCCTTATAGTCACTTGCCTCCTTTTTCGATTAGCCTGCTTGATCATCAAGTCCTGAGCTCGTGTCAAGTGGAATCGAAGTTGTTGCAGCGCCTCATCACGCGTCTGAAGTTCCTGGGCTACCGCTTCCACCAGTGTTCCCCCAGCACGAACCTAGTTAAAGCTGGTGGTGTCCTCCCATAAACCACTTCAAACGGTGTGTTTTTGGCCGCCCCCTGGTAACGGGTGTTGTACCAGTATTCTGCCCACGGAAGGATCAGGTTCCAGCTTTTTGGCTGTTCAGAACAAAAGCACCTCAAATATCCTTCTAAAACCCGATTCATCACTTCTGTCTGGCCATCGGTTTCCGGATGGTAAGACGTGCTCATCTGAAGATAGGTCCCTTGCAACTTGAATAACTCCCTCCAAAAAGAACTGAGAAATAAGGGATCTCGGTCACTTACTATGGACTTAGGCACTCCGTGTAATTTCACTACTTCCCTCACAAAAACTTCAGCTACCGTTCTCGCTGTATACAGATATCTAAGAGGGATGAAGTGTGCATATTTGTTTAAACGATCCACGACTACCAAGATGGCGTCACACCCTTTGGACTTCGGCAACCTCACTATGAAATCCATGCTGATGTCTTCTGAAATCGCCTAGGGAATTGGTAGCGGTTGTAAAAGCCCTTGTGGTGAAGCGGTTAAGTACTTGTGCTGCTGGCAAACTAAGCACTGGGAGACAAACTCTGTTACCGCCTTCTTCATCCTGATCCAGTATAGGGACTGCGCTATCCTCCTGTAAGTGCGGTATACTCCTGAATGACCCCCTGTTGGAGTTGTATGATACTCCGCCAGCAATTTCGGGACCCAGTTCGACTAGGCCGAGATGACCAACCTTCCCTTGTAATGGAGTCGCCCATTTTCTATCGTGAATGAGGAGTGCTTATTTGGATCCCGAGTAATGTCTGCCACAACCTTCTTCAACTCTTCATCTTCTTCTACCTCCTTTACCACTTCCTGGAAATCCTTCCAGTACGGCCTCACCATTCCCTTCAGTTCCTTTTCCATCCCTGGACTGTGTTTCTCGGTTCCTTCCTCCACCTCTTCCCTTCCCTTTCGTGACAAAGTGTCTGCTACTTTATTGGTGGCTCCCGTTCGGTACACAATCTCGAAATCGTAGCCAAGGAGTTTAGCAATCCAATGTTGTTGAGCTTGAGTGGTTATCCTCTGTTCCAACAAAAACTTCAAGCTCTTTTGGTCCGTGCGCACGACGAACCTTTGGCCCAGCAAATATGGCCGCCAGTGCTGGATCGCCATCACCACCGCCATGAGCTCCTTCTCGTAAATCGACTTCCCCAGCGTCCCCTCCGATAACGCTTTGCTAAAGTATGCTATGGGTCTCTTTTTCTGCGTCAGCACCGCTCTGATTCCCTCCCCTGAGGCATCGCACTCTACGTGGAAAGGTTGCGTAAAGTCCGGTAACGCTAGCACCGGTGTTGTCGTCACCGCTTCCTTTAGTCTTCCCATCGCCTCCCTGGCCACCTCTGTCCATATGAAATTTCCCTTCTTCAGCATCTCCGTTAGCGACCTCGCTATCTTGTCGTAATCTCGTACAAATCGCCGGTAGTACTCCGTTAAGCCCAAAAAACCTCTTAGAGCTTTCAACGTTCGCGATTCTTCCCAAGCAACGACCGCCTCCACTTTTCCTTCATCCATTTCGACCCCTCTCCTTGTTATAACATGCCCCAAATACCCGATCGATGTTCTCCCGAATTCACTCTTCTTCCTGTTGGCCACCCACTGTTGTTTTTGTAAGCAGTCCAGCACCATGTTCACTTGTTGCAGATGCTCCACCCATGTTGCGCTGTACACGAGGATGTCGTAGAATACGAGAACGAACTTCCGCAAATACGGTCGTAATAGCTCGTTCATAGCGCTCTGGAAAGTGGCGGGCGCGTTGGTGAGGCCGAACGGCATTACCAGGAACTCATAATGCCCCAAGTGGGTCCGGAACGCCGTCTTCTGGATATCCGCCTCTCCCATCCGGACCTGGTGGTAGCCGGCTTTGTGGTCCACCTTCGAGAAATACCTCGCTCCCCTAAGCTTGTCCAACAGCTCTTCGATCACCGGTATGGGAAACTTGTTGGGGACGGTCGCTCGGTTGAGCGCTCGATAATCTATGCAAAATCGCCAGCTTCCGTCTTTCTTCTTTACGAGAATCACCGGGCTGGAGTAGGGACTTATACTTGGTCGAATAATCCCTGCATGCAACATTTCTACCACCTGGCGTTCGATCTCCTCTTTCATGACATGTGGGTAGCGGTATGGGCGCACGTTGACAGGGTCGGCCCCATCCTTTAAAATGATCTGATGTCTCTCTTCCCTGTCAGGAGGCAGTCCGCGGGGTTCCTTAAATACCTCCTCATACTGCCTCAATACTCTCCCCATTTCCTCCTTCTGTTCCACCGTCAACCCCTCTTCCCCTCTATCCTCTCGTCCCGCTCGTCTACCTTCCAAGCTCCAAACCAGAGCCCATGTCTCGGCCTCACTCATTTTCAACAATTTTTCTGGTTCAACTACCCTTCTCTCCAACGTCGGATCCCTTTTATGACAATCTTCTTCCCTACTTGTCAGAACGACATGATGGATTTCCCCAATCCAGCGTGATCTCCCCCAATTTGGCCAACCACTCAACTCCGAGGATCATGTCTACTCCTCCCAACTCAAACAAATAGAACTTTTCCTCAATCTCAACTCCCCCCATGTCGACCACCACCCTCGGACAACACCCTCGGGTCTTCTTCTTATGACCAACCCCTAAGCTTACTTGATATGGAAAAGTGTCTTCCATTCCGAGCTTCAGTTCCTCCACCAATTTCTTACTGATGAAGTTGTGGCTCGCGCCGCTGTCCACCAATATTAGCACGACTTTTCCTCCCACCTTCCCCTGCAACTTCAATGTTTTAGGTTGCGTCAACCCGCCAGCCGAGAACGCCGATAAGTCCATGCAAAGTGGCTCCAACTCTACCTCTTCCCCTTCAACATCCTTTTCTTCGTCTTCGGCCAGTAACATCACCCGTAAACTCTTCTCCGGGCATTGGTGCCCTGGGCTAAATGGCCCCCCACATCGGAAACACCGTCCTTCTTCTCTGCGTTTCAGAAACTCAGGGTAAGGCAGGTTTCTTGAACTCCTTCCTCGGTTATCACTTCCTCCGTGCATTCCGCCTCTCACCAGGCCGCCTCCCGTAGCACTGTCACGTCTGACGGACCCGACACTCTCGGTCGGGGTCGTTCTCATCGAATTGCTCCTCGGCGGATCGGTTCTTACCACCACCGCTCCTCCTCCTGTCGTTCGTCCCCATGATGGGGGGTTCTTGGATGTCGTCCAACCCATCAGACCTAGCCTGCGTAGAGCCTCTTCGACGTCCCGCGCCAGTTTCATCGTCGTCATCAAGTTTTGTGGGTCGTGGGGTCTCACCTGGCATCACAATTCCTCCCGTAAGCCCGCCAGGAAGTATCCTAACAACTGGTCGTCCGAAAATGCCTTCGTCTGTCCGGCCAGAGCTTTAAATTCTTTCACATATTCCTCCACAGTGGCTGTTTGCTTGATTGCCGCCATCCTCTCTGTGAGAAATAGAGAAGATTGGGAGAAAATATCCCTTGTATGTTTACCATACACATAGGGTAATTTATTTATACTGTAAGATATGGGCCAATGCCCTTAATACAGACTAGGCTGAGCCCAAATAACAGAAACACACATCTTAACATATAACACTCCCCCTCAAGCTAGAGCATATAAATCATATGTTCCAAGCTTGTTACAAAGATAATCAATTCTAGGTCCTCGTAAGGACTTTGTGAATATGTCTGCCAACTGGTTGCTTGAGTTAACGAACTCAGTCTTGATATCTCCGGATATGATTTTTTCTCGAATGAAATGACAATCAACTTCAATGTGTTTGGTTCTCTCATGGAAGATAGGGTTAGAGCTAATATGGAGAGCAGCTTGATTATCACATATAAGTGTCATGTGAGTGACATCTCCAAATTTCAATTCACTAAGCAATTGTTTAAGCCACACAAGCTCGCAAGTAGCTGATGTCATAGCTCTATATTCTGCTTCTGCACTGGACCTTGCCACAACACTTTGCTTCTTACTTTTCCAAGATATCAGGTTGCCACCAATAGAGACACAATATCCAGAAGTAGACCTCCTATCAGAAGGG